TCACCATTAACTGCAATACAGTAACCCAAGTCGATCATAAAATCCATTTCGAACTGCTGCTAATTGATAACTGGATATCTTTTTGTTTTAGAAAATTCCATGGCATCGCAGATTATCGAAAAAGAAAAATTGAAAACTTATACGGTTGATTGACGTAAAAAATTTTTTTCTAAAAAAACTAATACATTTTTGCTCTAAAATAGTTTGGAGAGCAAATAATCGCATGTTATGAATTTTACATTGAAATCCCTATGGTGCGTTACGCAAGTCACCACCCTGTATATTTATTATTGCAGATAGCGCGTTTAGCAGTTCTTCGTGCTGATTATAAATACCAATTTAAAAGATTTTTAAGTTTTTTCTTTATATCTCCTGCAGTTTTTGAGATATTTTGCTCAAATTTGAAATGCACTGAAGGGCTTACATCATTGACCATGTCAATGGTAGTGAGAATCTACAGGATGTTGTTTTTTCAGAGGTCATGTTCCATTTTCGAACTCTTTTTTCTGTACGCTACCAAATATGAATTTGATTTTCTGGTTTGGTTGGAAACTTTTTCGTATCTTTTTAAATTTTGGTAAATGCAACCGTTATCGAGAAAAAAAATTAAATTCAATTTTCTGTAGTTGGCCGAGAGTACAATTTTTAAAATGGTCCCGTAGGCCTTGGCGCTATTTGGATAATCTCTTGTTTTTATTAGTCTTGACAGTTTGCATTTTAAATTGTTTGCATATGTTAAAAGTGTAATTTGTAAAGTGTACGGTGAAGTTATAACACTTTGTAGATCGGTACTTTGTTTTGTAGTTCGTTGTATAATCACATTGGGCACAATTTAAATCTTCGGTGCCCTTTTGTATTAAGACATTTCATTTCAACGTATTGTAGTGATTTGTTGCAATCCGAGTTGCAATCACACTTTTTTTAGCCGGTAAGCATTTATTGGTAATTATGAGTATACTTTCTAATTCGTAGCTAACGAACATTAATTAAAGAGAAAAACGACGGCCATCTTGAAATTGTGGTTAGGTGATGTACGGTTAATCGAAATGAACTTTTTAAGTGGACGGTTTGGTAAGATTCAAAAATTTGATTTGACAGTTGTTGTCATTTGGTTTCTTGTTTACGTTTATAATAATTTTCTTTATATTTTTTCGTGATTTTTTGAACATTTAATAGGTATTCTCGAGAGTATTCTCCTATTCGGGGCAAAGACGAATCCAACAAATCAAATATTATTAAGTTATAAGTGGTGGGTGTTTTATATACACTGTGAGCAAGATAAAGATGTCTATCATGGGGATCTCTGAAACCATAGAAGATGCGACGATGGTCAAATTAGAGAAAAGCTGCGCAATTAAAGAGTTATTATCATGCTTTAAAGAAAACCGTAAAATTCCGAAGATATGTCAGAAAAATCGAAATCTGCCGATTTCGTTATTATTTTTTTCTGATGTTATTTGAACAGATACAAACTCTTTTTCGTTAAAATGGTTCGTAAAAAAAGTACATATTGTATTAAATAGCATTTTTTATAACCAATAGAACCATGTACCCCACACAAAAAAACTAAAGTTGGTAACTGTTGGTTTCAACAGGATGGTGCACCCACGCACAGTGCCCTAATCGTGAAATACCTCTTGGAGAAATTATCCACTTTGTAGGAAAGTTCTCGATAAATTCGCGCACGATTAGTGCGTTGGTTGTACGCAGGTGCACCATCCTGTTGAAACAAACATTTTCCTATTTTTTTTGTGTATGCTGTACCGTTGTATTCGTAATTAACAATGCTACTCAATTTACTGTGTGCATTTTTTATGGCGCATAAAATAAAGCTGCCGATTTCCCCGAAACGTAACGTTGTAGCTCAAAAAGTGGCAACGAGAAAGTGGTTTTTGGTTTTTTGTATCTTTTCAAATAAAAACAGGAGAAAATAAAAACGAAATCGACAAACTAAGTTTTTTCTGGCACATTTTCGGATGTAATCGGTATTTTCCGATTTTTTTTACGGTATGATAATTACTCTTTAATTGCGCAACTTTTTCCTAAATTACCCATCTTCGTAACTTCTATGGTTTCCAAAGATTCCCATGATCGACATCCTTATCTTGGACACAGTGTATATAATATAGATGCAACTGAATCCGAAAAGCAATATTGCATATGGGGTTATTACGATATTCATTAAAGTACCTAACCTTTTTTTAAATGAAAACGTATTTTGAAAGAAATTGAAATTCTGAATAAAAAGCCACTAAAGACAACTACAAGCAATCAACATTTTTAAGTTTGTTACAAAAATTGTATAAATCGCAGGCGCCCAATACTATAAAACAAAAGAACAAATAGGCGGAAATATGCTGGAAAGTTTAAAAATGATAGTAGGCTATGTATTTTTATCATTTCCATGGATAACTAGATCGAAATGGCTATGGTGCATTAAGAAGTTTCATAGAGAATTCAATAAGCTGTCATACGATGTAATAATATACAGGGTGTTCCATGTAAAATGTCGCATTTTTCTTACTATCTGAAACATGCGATGTTGTTTGTTTTTTAATTACGGATTTAGGTTGAATAGAGTAAAATACACAATTTTAATAATTAACCGTTTTTCTAACTCTACAACTAAGAATGTTAGCAATAGTGCCGACATAATTGGAAACAGACTGTATAAATTTTGGCGTCCATCCAAACAATTTAGATATATCGAATACCATTTTCTTTACAATTTTTGTGAATTGCAGTAATTTTCCCTTTAATTAAATCTTCTCCTGATTTTCCGAGTACAATTTATTCAGAAAGAGAAAACAGGGGTTTTAAAAAAACGTACTCTCATTTTCAAAATTAGAACTTTGACCTGATTTCCTGAGCCCCCCTATATACGTTTTTTGAATAATTGTTACATATTAGACAAGGCATACTTAGCTAGCTCCTTACTGACTATTTACGTAAATTATAAAAATCATGGCTTTGCATTGCAAAAGGCAATTTATTTTGTGAACATGTCCTTTTGCATTGAGTAAACACAACCTGAAAATTAACACCACATTTGACAAATAACGGTAACAGACTCTGTAACCGATATAACTATAACTCTCGCCAGGAAAGATTGCCGGTCACAACTCACAGCACACCTTGTGTCGATTTACAATCTTTGTTTTTATTAAGATGCGAGCGACTTCTGGAATAGGATCGTGCTAATGTTGCACAAAAAGTCTTTTCGTTCAACATTGACACGATAGTATCCCGGAAGTCGCTGGCACCTTACGAAAAACAGAGATTGTAGATCGAGATCAAGTGTTCTGTGACCGGCAATCTTTCCTGGCGAGAGTTATAGTAACTTCTTCATTGAAGATCTACCCGAAGCTACTAAAGGCACAGACGGGTGCTAATTTTCTCCTCTTGTTGGATCAAGAACCGACAAAATAATCGGTAAGGTTTCTTGAAAAAATAACTGGTTCGGTTAACGACTCAAAAAATTAACGGTTTTCTATTTTGGCAAGTATTTTGGTTTAGGTATCCTCCAAAATAGCGACTAGTGTGAAGATCTTTCTTGTTACCCTTATCGAAATTTACCATTATGCCACCTTGACCATTTGGTTTATGATTTAATTGTAAAATTCCCATGCCCCCCTTGACTAATATGGAAATAAACCATCAATTTATAAGCAAATTTTTAACGATCGCCTTAATTATTACATAGTTAGAAAAGCATTACGAGAATATTGCACAATATTTCGAAAGGCTCTGTACATTGACTTCTCGAATCTCGTAATGAGCGCGAACTTGGAATGCATATTTCTCGGCATATTTCCTTTGCAATCGCCAATTGCGGTAAAATTAACGTTCGCCCTTCAATAACGTTTACGTTGTTAAACTAATAGAAAATCACGGCTATTCTTCCCCCGAGGATGTAGCTCAAGGTCGATTTAGTCACTTCAAATTCATCTTTATACCTGCCGGTCAACGTAAAAGTGGTAGAACACCTACCAAACTTTTTCTCCCAACACGAGTTTTAGACCCCTAATGCTGGAATGTTGTTCACCCCTCTAGATGTCTTCACCGAATGAGTGTGTCGTGGAGAGAGGCAAGTTTAACAGCTGCACACGCATAGACGAAACGAAAAATTTTATATTAGTGTTACCGGGGGAGACAAAATGTACAGACGGTCGACTACCTCGTGGCTCGTATCGGAATCGCGTGGTGCTTTGTGAACGTTCTTTCTTTTGTTTGTTGTTCTTTGGCGTTTTTGTTTTGTGAATTTGTCTGCCGCATTCGTAAGTATTTTCATTGTTGTTTTGAGGAAAGTTTGGGTAACGATTTGCTTATGAACGTTTGGTTGGGATAAAATCCCGCGCATTTTCTAACAACCGGTACCTACCGTACCGGTAACGGTAACGGATAACGTTTGCATTTAATTAAAACATCATTGTGTCTAGTCTACCGCTTGCAACTAGATGTTCGAATTTAATTCCGCGCACGTTTTTATTTAATTTTATACCGACAGGGCCCAATGTAAAAAACGACAAAACCGTACAAAGAGAAGGAAGGCGGCTTTCATTGAGTAGAATTTCCCGATGACACAATATTGGCGTGCGTATAATTTCGGATTTAATAAGTTTTTGCGTGTCGTGGGCAACAGGTGACGCAGCGGTCGGCGTCGTCGCCGTCGTCGGTAGCTATTGAACGTTTACTTGCTAACAAAACATACGGAAATCTTTCTGACGAAGAGTATACAAAAACAAAGCAGTTCCAGACACTGGCTTAGCCCAGCCACCTTGTTGCAGCAATAATTCAAGTCGGGGTTGCAGCCCTCACAGGTTGCCATGGGAACGGCATTAGTCCCCTCAGTCGGCACATCGATCGTCCTCTCCCCCTCTTTCAACTCTGTCTAAACACTTCACCCCCGCAAATTGACAGTCGATGAATGCATTCAAGGTTCAACAAACACAAATTTGCCGCGATTTAATTGTAATTAACGACGCTTTTTTTTGTTGCAGGGATGACGGTTAATTGAAAATGGCCTCACCGACTCCTTCGTTAGAATCATTGCCTAGAGCTAATTCGATTGGATCTTTTGGCGAGCACGCAGATTATTTGTCCCTCTCTCCCTTAGCCGACTCACCTTTAACAGTAAGTGGATCGTCTCCTCCTGTAAGCGACTCTGTGGACAGAGACAGCGATCCGTCAGATTTGCATTGTTTACAGTGTAAGGAATCGATTAACGATCCAAAAATCTTACCCTGCATTCACACCATTTGTAATAATTGTTACGAAAAAAACAAATTAGCCTGTCCGCGTTGTCAGACCGACTCGATAGAGAGCATCTTCAACAGTCTCCTTTTCGGCGACTTTAATTCGGAATCCTTCCAATCGGCCGTTCGTTGTACCGGTTGTAAGACGAAAAAATTGGACGCCGTCGCACGTTGCGTCGATTGTGTTAATTACCTGTGTTCAAACTGCGTCATGGCGCACCAATACATGCACTGCTTCGAAGGGCACCGGGTTCTCAATCTAACCGAACTAAAAGACGAGCACAAAAACGGAATCATACCGAACGGCACCGTCACGAACGGCACGGTGCTTAACGGAGAGAAACCGATGATGTGCCCGAAGCACAAGAGCGAAATACTTAAATTTTACTGCCGCACATGTACGGTACCCATCTGCAAGGAATGCTGTACCTTGGACCACCCCGCCGGTATCCACGAATTTGAACATATCAGCGAAGCAGCTCCCAAACACTTGGAGGCGATCACCCACGCCGTCCAAGAAGCCAAAACAAAAGCCACCGATCTACGAAACACCCTAAAGAATGCCGAGCACGTTTCTAGTCGTTTACAAGTTCAATACCACAAAGCGCAAAATGAAATAAACGACACGTTTTTATTCTACAGGTCGATGTTGGACGAAAGAAAGCAAGAGCTACTGAAAGAGTTGGAGAGCGTATTCTCCGCGAAACAGATCTCGTTAGGCGTCGCCACCCAGAAAGGCCAGGAGGTGGTCGAGCAAATTTACAAGACGTGCGAGTTCGTCGAGAAGATCAACAAATGCGCGAATCTGGTCGAAATGCTGATGTTCCGCAAACTTCTCGATAGCAAACTCCAGAGCCTGCTCACGTACAATCTCGATCAGAGCATCCAATCGGCGGGCGAGCTCGAGTTCGTCTCCAACTACCAGGCGATCCAGGTGGGCGTACGAAACACCTTCGGCTACGTAAGATCAAACTCGGAGGCCGTAGTGGGACCAAGCAAACAACCGCCGATCGCGCGACCGACCGGCGGATCGAGTTCGAGCGGAAGTAGCGTTAACGGAAGCTCGGGTAGCTTAAACGGCGGCATTCACGGACCATTCTCGATATCCGGCTGCAGCCAATCGACATCGCCCTTCGAGTCGAACATAATCTCGAAGCGCTTCAGTAGTGCCAACAGTCTTGGACCGTTTTCGACGTCCATCGGCGACCTGAACTTGAACGGCATCAACCCTTACGAAAAATGGTCCAACGGCGGAACCGACAGTATTTTCCAAAACGGAACGGATCCCTACTCGCTGACCGCCGGCGGGGCGGACTCCATGCTCGATCTTACCTCAAAGCTAATGTCTACCACAATCTTCCCTCCAAAATCGCAGATAAAGCGACAAAAAATGATCTACCACTGCAAATTCGGCGAGTTCGGCGTAATGGAAGGCCAGTTCACCGAACCGAGCGGGGTTGCCGTCAACGCCCAAAACGACATCATAGTAGCGGACACGAATAATCACCGCATACAGATCTTCGACAAAGAAGGCCGTTTCAAATTTCAGTTCGGCGAGTGCGGCAAGCGCGACGGTCAGCTGTTATACCCAAACCGCGTCGCGGTCGTACGCACCTCCGGCGACATCATAGTCACCGAAAGATCGCCGACGCACCAAATCCAAATCTACAACCAATACGGACAATTCGTGCGAAAGTTCGGCGCGAACATTTTGCAGCACCCGCGCGGCGTGACCGTCGACAATAAGGGACGCATAGTCGTCGTCGAGTGCAAAGTGATGCGCGTGATAATCTTCGACCAGACGGGTTCGGTTTTGCAAAAGTTCGGCTGCTCGAAGCACCTCGAGTTTCCCAACGGCGTCGTCGTCAACGACAAGCAGGAGATCTTCATTAGCGACAATCGGGCGCACTGCGTCAAGGTCTTCGATTACGACGGCCGCTATCTGCGGCAAATAGGCGGCGAGGGCATCACCAACTATCCGATCGGTGTCGGCATTAACGCGTCGGGCGACATTCTGATCGCCGACAATCACAATAACTTCAACTTGACTATTTTTACCCAGGACGGGCAGTTAGTGTCGGCTTTGGAGAGCAAGGTGAAGCACGCGCAATGCTTCGACGTCGCCTTGATGGACGACGGATCGGTGGTACTGGCCAGTAAGGATTACCGACTGTACATATATCGTTACGTGCAGGTACCGCCAATCGGTTTGTAAACGAAACGGCCACCATTTCCTATTTTTGTTAACGCAGTTCGAAGGAGTGGTTTGCTGCCATGTTAAACTGTAATTATTTATTTGATAAGTCTCCTCTCATATGAGATAGTTTTGTATTGTAACATGTTGATATTTTTAATATGTACCATTGTAACGATATGTTTGAGTAGCTCACTCCCCCCGTCGGAGTGGCGGCCCAATGTATGACCAAATCTATCACTATTCAAAACAGGGATATTAATCACATTAGAGTTTTTACCAAGCATAGCGGTGCCTGGGCCATTGTTGTATTTAAATTATGCATCAGTTTCCATATATGATATCTATTTTAATATGCGCGTGTATGGTGTTGTGAATGTCCTTAGCATAGTGCGTTGTTATTTTGCGGGAAGCCGCGTTGTTAGCGACCCTAGTCACCCACAAACTTCTATTAATTTGTTGTAATACACTTCGTCTGATACACCGCGTGCCGTGCCCATAAATCTTTGTTTGACTTATTATTATTTCAGTTTTGTTATTTACTATTATCTGTTTAAGTTCACGAAAACACACTCGGCTCGTCTTAGTATCCGCCTAGCACGAGTCGCACAGTATGGTGCATGCAATATTTTTCACCATCTATTATTATTAGTTGTAGTAAGTAGTCTGTTGATGCTGCCAAGATTAAGATAACGAGAGCATGGGATCTCACCGACTTTCGCATGTTGCGTGCGATTCCATCACGAAACTTATGACCAAGACTATTAGCTAGAATTGTGCATTTTTAGTTAGCATACACTTACTACCTTATTTATAATTGTCCTATTTATATATATTATATCTTTAAACTGTTTGTTAATTTTTGAAAGAAAATCCAGAGATGATCGCATTTATTTGATTAGCCGGGGACTGCGCGATCTCATATCCTATAAACCAGTCCCTCGAATACGGAGACTGCACAGCTGATAAAATCGGTACGGTGGCCCTTGTGACATTCATCTGACCAGTGTTAATTTGTTTTTAGTGTCTTGTTCAGAGTACTCTCTATTTTTTCTATTGTTCCTGTGACTTCCTCGGATTAGTGTCACATAGACGCACCATCGACGCTTTTATCCGCCAATCGAATTTGTTTCTGCAGTTTTTTTAATTACATTGTTGTTATTATTACATTTACTTTAATGGTAAAATTGTTCTTAAATTAAATGTACATTGTTTTGTTTTTTTTTGAATTTTTGTTGTAAAATGCTTTTTTTTAATTAATAATACCAGTTCTTGCAGTTTTCAGTTTTATTTTGTTTTCGCTTTTAGCTACACAATCTAGTCTGCGTAGAGCACGGCACACTGCGATCTCTTTTCTAAAAAAACAAAAAACAAAAAGTAGGCTTAAGTGATGATAATCTTGCAGAAAGCGTTGGCTTGTAATGTTTTAAACAATCTTCCTGGGCCCAAATGTTAGCGAATCCTAAATAGTTATAGACGTGTGATTTAATGGTATCATATTAGTCATTAGTGAGTAGTGTAGAGTAACTTTTTGAGTATTAGTAAGTGTGTGGCGGACCAATTCCGCTCTGAGTTTGGAACTTAAGTATCAAAATGTTTTTCGGAAAGACTGATTAAAAAACACATTTCTTCTGGTAGTAATGAAATTAGTGATACGCAAAAATGCAATAGTCGGCCCTCTGCCGAATTGCCACGTTTAAACACGGACGAATGCCGGAGTAGCAAGACATTTTTCAGACACGCACAATTCCGACATGTTCGGCAAGGCCTGATAAAACTTGAATATGTTGCGTTTACCTTCATGTCAATTACTCTAGGGAACATTACAATTTAAACCAGGTAGAGTGTAAATAAGTTTTCTCTCCTGTACCTACCGCTTAGTATTTGCATTGTACGTTCTCGTTACTCCTTCAGTAGTAGGTGGGATTGTCGCATCTCTAGTCCCTACCCTTCAGTGGGTCACATATTCCCGTCGCACAATCTCTTGTTATTCGCTGCATGAAAGTTGTTCCAGAATTATAAATTTTTATACATTCGATGCATTTTGCTCATGTTGTAGATTGTTGTTGTGCACTGTTAATGCGCCACGCCGCAGAGTCCACACTTCCGAGCACCCATTATATATTCCTGGCATTGCGCTCGACAGATTTCTAACAGACTGTGATTATCGGAAATGCCTTCCCCCAATACCCCAAATGTTATCACTTGCACCTACTGGTAATTCTATTATTCTAGCTCTTGCACTCTAAATAATCTTACTTTCCGTCTTCACACAAACTGACGCAGTCCACTATTTTTTTAACTTTCAAAATCGTTACATATCTTTAGAGAAAGCCGCTGAATTTTTCTTTCTTCTACCCACAAATTTTTTGCTCAATTTTTAACACTTATTGATTGTCATGGGTTGATGAGCGAATTTTTAATAAGCCCTCGATGGCCACATTCAGCATTTTTTAAATCTTGTGGTAGCAAACTTGAGATTCACTAATTCCAAATTCTGGTCACTCGTAAAAAAACCACTTCAAATTTTTGTATGATGCCAATTGAACATTTCCACCATGCATTCTTTATTTTGTTAATTTCTCAGTCCCTCAAAAATGCCATTTTATATCTTTTCAAAATCTTATTGAAATCCTCTATGACCCAAAATTTACCCTTATCTCTCTAGCTCCCAAGTCATTTTCTTAGGAATTCTTCCTTATATCGCCAGAAGTTCCTCTTAAGTTTTCCCATATTTACCAAGAATACCTTCATTCCATATTTCCCCAATTTATATACAAAATAAGTAGGTATTTATTTCATTAGAATTTGCTTTTTTTTAATTACCATTTTTCTAGGATCCTTAGAAATGTTCTCTTCCACAAAATTCATCTAGACGTCCCCCAAAATGTTCCGAGATGTTTTTTTGTCCAAGATTAGCTGTACTTCCCCATTTTTTCCACAATCCAGGTCAGATCAAATTTCCTCCTAAACTTCATTATTTAGAAATTTCCTTTATTTTGTACCTATTCCTCATAGTTTTCCAAAATTTATTGACAGTGTCGAAACATTACCCAAAAATTTTATTGCAAAACTTGAACTTATAACTCTTAAGTTGACATTTTGGCCCAAAACTTTGATACTTGTAAGTTAAAGTTTCGGGGCCAAAAGTTTAAGTTGTAGTTGAGTTCTAAGTTAAAGTTTTGAGTTGTATATATTTACCACAAGATTTAAAAAAAGGCTAATGTGGTCTTTTTGTTAATTTCTGAACCAAAAATGAAATAATTCCACTTGTGCTATAAATTGGTCTATGCATATTGCATACAATGCGTAAATGTTACCTCTCCTATGTTCAATTCTTGAATATACAAGTCAATGCTTGACAGTTGTGCGACCCACCTTGCGCACAAATTTGGCAGCAGTGTAAACAAAAGAAATTTCAAATTCTCTGGTTGTACAAGTTCGTGTTTGGTGTAATGTTCATTAACAATTCAAGCATCAACATGAAATTTTTTACTGCCGTTGTGAATTGTGCCAATTGACGAAAATTGTTAATCAGGATATTTAGCAGTAAACATTTTCATTTAAAAAATAATTCAAATGACGTTTATTGAAAAAGATGAAAGTAGGTAAGATTGGTTGCATATCTTAAGGGGTATTTGACTTTTATATCTAAGATTTATTAACATTTGCGCATTGTATATCCATAGTTATTTTTGAGTGTCGACAAATGTGATCCGATCAAATTATTATTATTATAGACGTTTCTTAAGAAGTAAAGAGGAATCTGGAAAGTAACGTTTTTGGTTCGGAAAGTATTCATCCTCATTTAAAATTTGAACGGGCATAGGTCAGCCCTTTCGTTCGTTTCAATCGAAGAGTGTTTGCGGTAGATCCCTGTTAATCCGGGCGCGGATTAGCAAATTTCGGCCGCGAATTGTAATGGAAAGACTGATTTTTTTAATATCTCTTGAGTTCGGCATAAATAGTTACACGAGTAGTTTTCTACAATTAGTTAATAAAGGTGCACTTTGAGCAGTTGCGTGTTAGCCGGAGGGTCCCTCCGAAGTGCCAATCTTTATTAAGGACTGTAAGAGACAACCGGTCCAAAAGGAAAGTGTTGGTATACCGTTGACTTAACAAAAGTCGAGTCGTTTTAGTCCAGTACCGGCCGCATATCTCGTTATTTACGGATTGTCATCCGTTATCAGTTTGTGTCGAAGCGACGACGTGTCACAATTTAGTTGTTGGATTTTGTAAAGTGCGCGTATCCGTAAGCTAAGCTCTTCCATTTCATTCAAAAGACCTTTTCTACCAAGTACGAACACCAAAATGTTTATTATGTACGTGTTGTACTGACTGTACTGATCACACCAAAAAAAAATACTCCCTGCTTGTTGGCTGGAACTCGCGGACCAAAGCAAGCGCGGCCCGCGCCACCGACCAAGTAGTTGCTTATGTCTTATTCTAGTCTAGTCGTTTTATATTGAAAACATAATATGATATTGTATTTTTATGTGGCTTTGTACGTCCTCATACTTGCCAGTTTCTTACCATATATGTCTAATAAGTAGGGTAGATATTTGTTAGGACTGAACGAGTTTTAAGTGTATTCTTGTTGTGAGGCCGCAAATTGAGGGAAGTGAGTTTTTTTGTGGCTGGCAGGAGTCGCAAAGTCAGTTGCGAGTCTTGCTAGTCGCTCGAACTTCCCGTTACGGACTTCACTAGGTTATTAGCCGCTTTGTCCGTCATTGTTCCTGCCATTGGTCGCGCAGACAAATCGCAGATACTACATCTGAATAGCAATAGTGAGTGTTATTTGTATATTTGCAATGTGTTAGTTAACATATCGTATTGTCCCCGATAATGTGCTTCTCCATTGCTGCTGCTTGCTTGTGATGTGACGCCGCCTTAAATGTGTACTGTAATGTAACGTAGTTTTAATAGTGTAGCTAACCCTGCCGCCTAAGCTTGTCTCTCTCAACTGTAAGACTGACGTGTATTATTGTCTCATTATATTGGCGTAATTAAATCAAGGCAATATATAAGTATATTTTTGAGCTGTTTGTTGACATAATCAAACGCGAAACTGTTGAGTGTTCGGTTGTTACACAGTAGGGGCCACGTTCGGCTGCCTGCTTGGCCTAGTAAAGTGCATGCGCCTCTAGCCTAGCCTAGCACCCGTATTCTCATACATGCAGACCCCTTCTAGACCAAGAGCACCTCACTCGTTTATTGCGGCAGTGGACAATAACATGTTATCCCCACTTGTTGGCAACTACTGTATTTTTCAAAAGTATTTTCAAAGTTGTTAATTAAAAATGTTATTAAATTTAAGGAGCTGCTCTCTTTTAGCGGACATAATATATTGTTGAAAAATGGGTAGAAGAAGGTTTCCGCTCAAAGAGAGTAGTGCTTTACGTTAAAGTTTTTCTTTGGAACTCTGCACATTCCAACAGATGCTTTATTTTGATATGATCGTTAAAACATTGGTAGGTAGTGTGTATGAATGACACTCGAACTATTAGAGATATCTAGTATTTTAAAAATGGAGCACATTATCTGGCTAATAAGCATTCCGTGTAAACACTGTTGGTCCTGTTACATTATGAGAATATCTGAATGATTTATATGTTGTAATAATGATGAAGTATTTTTAAAAAGTCGAAAAATAACCGTTGTGGATCCGGACAAATTGCCGGAATCAATTTAATTATTTACTGTTTTATTTTATTGTGGGAAGTTTCTATTTTTCATAGAACAAGTTTCTTGTTATTATATAAACTAAGTGTGCCTAGTCAATAGAGTTCAGGTCAATTTATGATGTAATTAATATAAAAATTACGATGTTGTGCAGTTCCATCGATATTAATATCTAAGAAACAAAAGGTTGTTTGGTATCATTATTTATTAGTAGCGTTGATGGTATGAACGTCGACGTCCAAGGGGTTCAGATCTCATGCCCCCCCCCGAAATTCGTGAGGCATGCGCGTTCAAACCTCGCCGTTATTATTAAAAAAAATTACCGCTCTTATTTATTTATATAATTTAGCGATTAATTTGTCGAATTGAGTACAATATTTAATGATTAAGTCATATCAGTTTGTTACAAGCGTGTATACTGCAGTGGTGTATCTAATAAAGCATTTTGTTTGCTTGAAATATCTACCTTTTAAGTTTTGTTATGCGCTTTACCTATTGTACTTACGGTATCGTATTCTCGACAAAAAAAAAGTAGTAGGTACGCAACGATATGCTCAAGTACAAAAGGCTAAACAGAAACCTCTGAGTACTTACAATCAGGTAAGAGTTATGTGCTAAGTTCGGTTCTAGTCAGTGTTATATTTAACTTATAACATGTAATTTTAATTAAGTTTTCAATAAATTGAATTTGAATTACTTCACTAACTTATTTTTTACCTTAAAAGTTCTTCATAAATAGCAATGAAACCGTTCATCAAATGTCTTAAAAAAGCTTGCTTCAAAACATGGTAAGTGTAGCGAAAAAACCTTTATTATTGTCTAATGTAGTAATCAGATAAATGGGACCTATTAATTGACTTTCTTTTATAAGATTACAAAACTGGTAGTCGCAAAGTTTACCGCAACGCAAAAGAGAAATGACCGCTGCACCACAATTAGTCTCGCTTATGCAGGTGCAGTTTAACCCCAATAAATCATCCCCTGCAACTGATTTCTAGGCAAAAATGATTGCTTCAAAAATATCGTAGGTAGATAACAACCCGATATTTGTATATCTGTTCCGAATTCTCCGTGTCTTTATTGTAATCTCTCGATTAAAATATTTCTAATTATTTCGCGATATTTTTTGTATGATAGGTATGTTCTCTCGTAAATACTTTGGGCAGGGCCTCACGTTGTTCCGATTTGATGAGCATTTTTTTACCATTCTTTGTTTCGTTTCTTATCGTGTGCGTCACTATTTGAAAAAACAGTCGTATGATGTAACGGCGCTAAAAACTCAATTTAAAAAACGTTTTTAGCACCCTCTTTTGGTCATCACTGTTACTGACTCCTCGCCTAGCCTTCCCGATATTTTCCTGTTCTTCAACATGGACTTTATCCAGCCTCTTGTTGTAGAGATAAGACCATTGTTTCCATCCTTTTCAACATATAAATTGAGTGAAAGCGAGTCGACTTAGTGCCACTACCGACTTATTTGCCTTTTCTGACGTGGTCGACAGACGTCGAGCGACAACCTCGTCCAAGATCTTACGGATCTCTCTGCCCTAATTGCCTCGCCCAATATGTTTATGCTAACCGTCTCCTACCCACCAACATGGCGATCCTGGTCATTTGTCTGTCCTTCATCCAGTTCGATTATTTCTTCTTCACCATGTCTCATACGCGTGACAGCGTCAGCTTGCGATCACGCGCTGTAACCGTGAGGTCGTCGGCAGACCCGATGACGTTATCCCCTGCGAGATAGCCTCAGCACCTCGTCGTACATAAGAGTTTCACTGGGTAGGTCCTAAGACCGACCCCTGTGGAACCCCCACAGTAATCGCCAGTTCTTGTGTTTCCCCACACGGTGCGGTGTCATGCCCTGTTCTCTTGCAGATGTAGTCTCGAATTATACCTCCACAAATAAACGGACGACTCCTTAGTTTCCGGAGTGCCGCGCATATTGCCTCCCTTCAGAAAAGGGGTCTTGTCAGTTTTTAAAAATTTTTTACTTGCCTCGAACAGCCTCTAAAACCTTTTACGAACTTTAAAGGCTTTATGAGTCTAAAGATTTTTGAACAGTTTTCAAGAATCTTCGAAACGCTTTGAGAACTCTTAATTGACATTTAGAATCTTTGAGTTGGAGAGTGCCTGATGACTCGTCGCTTTCGGACCACAGGCACATTCTTTTCCAGCTAAACCTGGCATCCCCACTGCGGGAGTTTTAGGTTTCGGTATCCCCGATTCATTGACGGCCGAGGGGGACTGTTATGTGGCGCGGAACTGTCAGTGCGGCTGGAGGGACCACTTTTGCTCTGTCGGAACGCAAGGCAGGTAGAAGGGGCGGCCGCATTAGTAAGCGAGGCCATAACAGCATCATATATAACGACCGCTGTCAACTGCAAACCTTTCGAGTAACGAAGAGAACACATTGGTGCAACTCGGATCTTGGACAGCTTTGCAAGGAGGTTCGTAGATTCTTTAATAGGGTCATGCGATCTAAGCTGGCTGCGGACGGGGAAGATATCAAGAATGCTCGGCGCAAGTATAAGGGTCATATTTGAAGAGGATCGAGGAAGGCCTTTTGTGGTAATATGGAGGGTCTTCTTGGAGTTCAAAAACTTCGTAAGATTCTTTTGAAAGACCCAGGGCAAAAAATGAGGAGACACATTATATAGGTCTGCCGCGTGTGAGGCGTGGTGAGAGTGCAGGACCGGGCGGAATATTCCCGGCTCTTTCGCAGAAGGGTCTGGAGCCGCTCCTCTTACATTTGTTGCACGTCTTTAGAGCCTCCCTGGCTTTAGCGTATATCCCCGATAACTGGAGAAAGGTAAGAGTTGTGTACCTACCTAAACCGGGTCGTGCCAAATATGAAATGGTGAAGGATTAATTAGGCCCATCAGCCCATCATCGCTGAAGCTGGTGGGTGCATACATAAGGAATGGGGTACTGGTCCCTTAGATCGCTACTAGATAATAATAATAATAATAATAATAATAATAATCGAGGGTTGCCTCCATTGCTGTAGTGCCTGGTGCTAGACGGGCTCTTCTATACTCTGAACGAGGATGGAGCGTATATATACAGGGATACACGAACGATCGTCATAACAGGAAAGTTTCCAAACACTGTGAAAGAGCTGATGCAGGGGGCTCTTGAACAGGTGGTGCGGTAGCCATGGCCTCTCCATTGACCGGGAAAAGACCGAGGTTGTTCCATTTACGAATAGAAGGAGAGCGGACCTTGATGGGCTCACTTTTCGAGGACGTCAACTGGCTCTGACCAGGTTAGTGAAATATTTGAGATTCATGAAGCATCGAGGTAGCCTTAGACACGTCCGGATCAGGGAGACAACGTTTAAATACCCTCCTCGCAAGAATGGATGCAATCCGAGCTGTTTTACTAAGACCGAAGGCCAGGGGCAGGATTAAGGACTGGGTGACTAGCCAATTCCAGGCTCGGTGGCAAAAGCAACCGGACTCAAACAATCCAGGGCCTTTTTAAAAGGGCCCCCCGACAAATCTGGGTGTTCTAAGCTTCTAAAACTGAATAGATGCCAGATTAAGAAGATCGCCGGTGTCCTTACTGGATGGTCAGTTTTCACCTGCACAACATTGGGCTTGTAGAAAAGCCCACGTTCAGGTTTTGTGGCGAGGCAGATGAAATTACCGAGTATGTGGTCCGTCACTGTGACGCCTTGATCAGAAACAGAGACATCAGGTCCTTGGCGACAGCTATTTGGAACCGGGGAGGATGAAGCAACTAAACAGGGTCTTGTCCTTTATTGAGAGGAATGGGTTCTGGATCTAGTAGCGAAAAAATGGGGGTAGGCACAATGGGCCTTTGGTGCGCCTAAATGCGGCCTGGTTGGGCTCCCCTGTAAATGGAATGGGATTGAGTCTTTAACAACCTTGATAAATTCTTTTTAAATTTTGTGTGAAATTTGTCTTGAACAATGTGTGCGCGTTAAGCGTTCTGTAACGTCTTCAGAAAAAGTCGTTAACAGTTTTTAAAAGTCTCCAGAAACCTCCAAGTATCCATAAACGTTTTAAAATCTTAAAAAAAAACCATTAACACTTTTTAAAAGTCTCTAAGGATCTTTGAACCCTTTCATAGGCATTAACCTTTGGAGTCTTTCAAAAACCTTAATACAATTTAAAAAGTGTCTAAGGGACTTTTCTCTAAGAGTCCTTGCAAGAACTCGTATTGGTTCTTCAAAGCCTTTAAAAAGTAATATGATTTTTTAAAGGCTTTTAAGAGTCGCAAACAGTATTCAATAACTTCAAAGGTCCTTCAAGACCCTCGCAGAAGCTTTTAGAATGCTTGAGATTCTCTCACCTCTATAGGCGATCAAGAATCCGTAGTCTTTTTCAAAATTGAACCTTCAGTTTTTAAAACTGTTTTGGGAGGTACTGTTATGTTGGTTGCCTATGCTCCAGTTTTGTTTCTCAAGGGTGAAGGGTCGTTAATTCTGCAAGCGACTGTACGTAGGAAATATGTCAACACCGATTTTCGATAAGATAAGTGAGGTTAAAAGCGATGTACACATTTTTTCAAAAAAATATCTCCACTTTATCTTTTTCTAATTAACTCATTTCATTTTATAGGATAATTAACATGTGAAACTTATCAGTGTCAATTACAACTTCATCATGAACTGGTACAATCTTTTTTTGACTGTCGCCTTTATTTTCTTTCTATTTTGCTACATTCCCATTACAATAAAGAAGACTTCTAACAGTCACGGCGATTTCAATCGTTTCTTAGAACGTTACAATAAAACTTACGACGATGACAAGCAGTATCAGGAGCACTACGCCGCCTTCAAGGTACAATTCGATCGAGTCACTTCATGAACTATTCCTTTTCGTTACAGAATTCAACGGACAGCATTGCTAAGCTAAACAATAATCGTAAAAGTAAACTTAGTGCCTTATACGGTTTGACGAAATTCTCCGACATGACCGAGTCCGAATTTAAAGACAGATACTTGCAGTCAGACTTGCCGACGAGGATTACGAATCGTAAGTTGAGACGTAGCCGGGACGGGGGTCGTCACAAGCACCATCACAGAAACAAAAGAGCGACTACTACAACTATTCCTCTTAAGTTCGACTGGCGTGAAAGAGGAATTGTTACGAAAGTGAATAATCAAAAGAAATGCGGCGCTTGCTGGGCTTTTAGCACCGTTCAGAATATGGAGTCGATGTACGCCCTTAAATATAAAAATTTGACTAGTTTAAGCGTTCAGCAAGCGATTGACTGTGCGAGGTATGATAATGACGGCTGCAATGGAGGGGATGATTGCACTTTTTTGCAGTGGCTGAAGGATTACAGTGTGAAAGTGTATTCTGACAGTACGTATCCTCTCCACTTAAAAAATGAGGTGTGTAAATTGAACAATGATAGCTTTTTTGTACAGGTCGACAAATACGCTTGTGACAGGTAGGCCGTTTTACATGTTTTCTTTCCGTAGTAAAAGTCCAAATTGTAGTTTCGTGGACGACGAAGCTTATATTGTACAAGCAATCGCGACAATCGGGCCGGTTGCAGTCGCCGTGAATGCGATAAGTTGGCAGCACTACGTAGGAGGCATCATACAGTTTCATTGTGGAGGAGACTTTGATTTGCTAAACCATTCCGTGCAGCTGGTCGGCTATGATTTAACGGCAGATATACCGTACTATATTGCTCGTAATTCCTGGGGGGAAGATTTTGGGGATAAGGGATATTTATATTTAGCTATAGGTGATAACTTGTGCGGATTAGCTAACGAAGTATCTGCATTAACTGTTTTGTAGTCATCACCTGTGATATTTTGGCATTTGTTTTTGTTTTATTATTAAAATAGTAGGTAATGTTTTTTGTTTACATGAGATCAGTTGATAGAGTGCTTGTATCATTGGTCCATTAACAGTATCCGATTGGACAAACTGGATTTTTATGCACATTTCTCTGGTTAAGTATTCATTTGACCGAATTCTCAAGGGGAGCCCAACCAGGCAGACCAAAGGCCCATTGTGCCTACCCCCTTTCTCCCAGAAGAGCCCATTCCTTTCAATTAAGGATAGGAGTATAGGACCCTATTTAGCCTAAGTTGCTTCACTCTCTCCGGTTCCATGGTGCTGATACCCGAGGGTATACCTCACCTCACCACAGAACCTGTACATAGGCTCTCCTACAAGCCTATAATCTTGTGCAGGTAACAGGTGGCCACCCAGTATCCCCTGAGGACCATGATGATCTTCCTCTAATCCCTGCCTCTGTTCAGTTTTAGCAAGCTTAAAAGGCCCAGATTTGCCAAGGGACCCTGATAAGAAGACCCTGAACTGTCTGAGTCTAGTTGCTCCTTGCCACTGATCTTGGAATTAACTAGTCGCCCAGTCTGTAATCCAGTGGCGTATTTACGGGGGGGGGATGAAGGGGATATATCCCCCCCAGAAGAATTGAGTTATCATCATAGCTATTAGGTATTTAGGTAATACTCCGCTATCCGCTCCACCCACTTAAAGGCAATAATATATAGGTATATATAGAGAGCAATTTTGGTTTTGGTTAAAGTCTCAAGTCACTAAACTCTAAATATTCTGTAGTATTTAGTATTCACTATTCAGTGTTGGCAGTCAACGATTTGGCTATTCGGCATCGATCGGCAATTTGCTACATTGATGCCCAAAATAACAAATAGGTATCAGGTACTTAGTACTGCTCCTGCGTCCTGCCTTTCACGAAATGACGAAAATAAGAATTTTAAAAACAGGAATTTTTTTTGCCCATAACTTTTGATTGAGACGTCTAATCGAAAAAGTACGAATCGTTTTGGATTCTACGCACCCAAATTAATAAGCAAAAGTGTTTTCCCGTGAAATTTTGGTGCAGTCGATTTTTGTTAAAAAAAGGAAGGTTATAACACTGCCTTTTCTTATAGAATGTGGCCTGTAGAATCCATAATTTCAAACAGTTCCAAGATTGGGCTATTAATTCCAGCCCTTTGAATTTTCTTTCGAAATTGGTCTATAACTTTTGATTGAGAAGTCTGAATTAAATGGCCGTTCAAAATGTACGGAGTCTTGCAAGATCTGTAGAGCATTTGTAGTTTAAAGGCCCGGTTTTTGAATAGATAGTTTAAATACAATAAGTACTAGTGCGCCATCTCCTTGGCAATAGATACACTTTCTATCAAATATAGTTTTAGAAGTGTAGTTGAGATGTCGCCACGTACGCACCTTTTAAAATTTCATTTGAATTTATGCGATTAATAGCAACGTCGCACTTATTATTCCTTAAATGGCAGTTCAAAATGTAGCAATAGCACTTATCTCATTACGGTGTCTTTCATGTACTTAATTGGGGAGATTCAAGCAAATCCTTAATTTGAATATGGGCACTCGATATTTGTGTAGCCTGGTTTGTAGGCAACACATGATGCTCAATGAACAGAAAACATTTACTTTTGCAATTCGTAACTTCTTATGCATAGGAGTTTATTTAAAGCCCTTGGATGAACAGTTTCAATAACAGGTACATTAAACTGAACCGTTTTACAATAACTTTCACACGAAGATCGCACAAAAAACACATTTTTTCGTGATTGCAAACTGCGTAATAGTTTTGCCTTATTTCGCTGCCAATTTCACTACCGTTTCCATAACAGTAGTTCTATCAAATAAACTCTAGGCTCAATTCTTTAAAGAATAGCTTCGCACCATCGGCAGCTGCTGCAATCATGTAATCGTTCCGATTTTAACCTTGAGAAGTTTGAATTGCATTAGAATGGGTTTTCTGCGAGTTCTTCATGGTGTCCTCCTGTTTTGGTTACAAAGCATTTCCCTTTTCAATTTGTGTTGTTTGAATTCAATGCTAACGTTTCTCATCCATCGAGAAAGAACTACATGTCTTCGATTGCACGACTCAGAGCGAACAGTATCATATTCCGCAAAGCTCGAGTCTGCCGCTTTCCTGTCACTCCCAGAAGCCAGTTCCCTAATTTAAACCTGTAAGCGAGAAAGGAATGATAACAAAGTTTAATTTTTGACTATAAAATAAACAAACATTCATTTATGCATTTGAGGTTAAAACTTCATATATCTATGGAACATATATATTATATATATGCTATGGAAGCGTCTATGGTTTTTAATAAGAGCGCTCTGACATCTAACGTTAGTTACATAAAGTACATTATAAAATTAGTGTGGCGACATCTTTGAGGTGTAAGTTACAACTAAAATATTGGTGGTAATAAAGTGTCCTGCATTTAAAAAATTTTCTTTTAGAATGTGACCTGTAGAAACCCTAATTCCAAACAGTTCCAACATCGGACTACTAGGTGAAAAGTTACAGCCCTTTGAATTTTTTGTCGAAATTTGTTTTTTGTCCATAACTTTTGATGGAGACGTCTAATCGAAAAAGTACGAATCGTTTTGGATTCTACGCACCCAAATTAATAAGAAAAAGTTTTTGGTGCAGTCGATTTTTTGTAAAAAATGAAGGTAATAACTGCCTTTTTTTGCCCAGAAAAAAAAATTGTCTCGGATCGACCGGAAAAAAATATTTTCTTATGGATGTGGCCTGTAGAATCCATAATTCCTAACAGTTCAGTTATTATTCAAAGTTTTCGTTGACTAATTAAAGCAAAAGCAATAAAGGGGCCTGTCAGCAGTAAGAAATAAAATACCGTTCTAATCAAATCTTTTTCGCCTGTACAATAATAAATAGATAAATGACTACCAGCATCAGCAACCTGCAACCCAATTTCTATTTCTTCCCCCCCCCCTCCCCCTTCTAGTACGCACTGGGTGACTGTATGTGCCACGAACTTGTTTAATCCCCCCCAGAATACATTTCTACGTACGCCACTACTGTAATCTACTACTTTAGCACAACAAAAAGCTGCCAATAGGAGCAGGTTCAGTTGGTGGAGACACCAAATTGTTAGGGGGTAGGCTCGGGGCCGGCGAAGATTCAAAAAGTAGCACCCACAGTACAATTCATTGTTATATTTTGTCGCGATTTGTTTTTACGTAGGTACTTTTAATTTTGTCTCAATTGTAAGGACTCTTTTCTACATATTTTTAATGTTGCGTAATATGAATGCGAATATTAACCTAAAGATCTGATTTCATAATGTCGTTGGCCGCGTCTTACGGTATTGTGAATGTCAAGGGAATAAAACTTCTGTGAACTTTTGTGTTAAATAATACCTCCTTCCCCCCTCGCACCCTTTTCTTTTTAGTTGCATAGGAAACCACAATTATTAACTTTATTCATTTTGTATTTTGCGTTTGGTCGCCGTGTAATTGATTTGGCAGGTAAAGTTTAATTCAATTTCACGTTTTTACGCATTTATGTAACGTCCAAATCTTATAACATTTTTTGTTATTGCTCCTAATCAACAACAAATTATCAAAACCGGGTGCATGACGTAATAGGATGCAAAATTATTAATCGTAAGGGTAAAAGGCAAGAATACAACAGAAACTGTTTAGGTTAGTTACTCTTTTAGTTGACATTTATCATTGTGGGAATGTACAATCACTGAAACGTAGATTTCTCATTACTTATGAAACACTCGATACAATAGGAGGTTTGGCAACGATGCGCTGCGCGCGCCGTCGGTCAAAGTGCACCTAACTTCATTTCTAAAAATATTTCGACTTCGACATCTCATCATTTGAACTGTCGTTGTAGGTGAAAGTTCTCAAAAGTTGCGATTTTATTTCGCTAAAATTTTTTCCATTTTTCCTTTCGTATCGTTAGTCAAACTTAGAAGTGGGAAAAATGAGCGACAGCACCAGCAACAACACGGAAGGCACGTCACCACCCCAACCACAAAGGGGTTTAAATATCGAGGCATTAAAACAGCACGTACTATCACACAAAATTGATGTTGCACTTTGGGCCACACGCATTTTTACAATCATGTTTACGATGGGTTATTTTATTCCTGTTTTTGGGTGAGTTACAGTGATTATTATTAATTTGACCCAATTGGTGTGAAAGTGCCACTTTCTATATTTCAGGAATGCACACAGCTCCTACTACAAAGCTCTCTTATCAAATGCGGCGACCAGTGCTTTAAGATTACATCAAAGATTGGGACCTGTACAGTTTTCGAGGGTATTCGCGGCGCAGCTCTTAACAGAGGACAGTTGTCACTATTTATTCTATTCGTTAATTTTTATTTACGTCGCTCCGATCAACAGTATCCTTTTTACGCTTAACCGTTAACGTGTTGACTTTTTCCTTAATAATGTTTTCAGTGGTCATTCTTCCGGTCGTACTATTTGCAATTTTGCACTCCGCGAGTTATTCATTAACTCTTTTAGATGTAAGTACATTCGCTCAGGCAAAGTTCAAGCTTTTAAATTTCAAGGTTATCAAGAATGTTAATTAGTGTGAGACTGAGAGTATGATACAGAATTATGAGAACCTTTTGCAAAGTCTACTATTAATGTTGTACTTACAACCTTTTAATTTACCTGTTTGCGAATGTTTCGCAATGTAATGGGAGCATTTTTTTTTTAGAGCCTGGGTCACAACGCGTGGTGGGGTGCACGTCTCCTAATTTCACTCGTGGAATTCCAATCTAGGAACATTTTACGACTAATCAGCCTTACGGAAATTATATTAATGCCTTTTTGTGTCTTCCTTGTCTTGTCGTAAGTATCTGAGGGGTTATCCACCACTTAAAAATGTGTACATATCCAATTAGCAGACAGTGACCGTAATACTAATAGTGCTATTAGGTATCGGTACCGCCACTGTTAGGTACTACTTGTGGGTGACGTGTTCGTAGATTTAGAAGACATTCTAACACTAGTGTATGATTTTTGTTGATCTCTGTTTAGGGGGATAACTGT